GTCTGTCAGTTTTTGGCCGATTTTCACGAAATTCGAACTCAACCCTTCTTAGGGCGTAACGTTGATATCCTAAAACGGTTTTTTAAATCGGATAAAAATTATGACCGCAATAGGGTCCACAAACTAAAAACGCGATTTTTCGCACAATCAGGGGTCATAATTCAGGAAGTTAGAGTCCGATATGCGCGAATATCGCAAGGAACCGAGATCTTTGTGAAATACTTACATTTCAAGTTTCAACAAAATCGGATAAAAATTGTAACCTCTATAGGGTCCACAAGCTAAAAACGCGATTTTCGTACAATCAGGGGCCATAATCCCTGAAGTTACGGTCCGATACATGCCAATATCGAAAGGAACCGAGATCTTAAGGAGATAAACCTATATTTCAAGTTTCGTTGAAATCGGATAAAAATTGTGACCTGTAGAGTGTCCACAACGACAACATACGTCCACATGAAAATGTTGGCGTATAAAAATAGAGTTTAAGGTCCTACTTTTCTGAAGCACCATTTACATAAGGAAACGTATAGATCGAGGGAATTTCACTGCATCATATCTTTGTAAAATTGGTTCATTTTAGTGCTGACATTCTAATTACAAATGTACAATATTCTAGTTTGCAAATATACAGATATACTCTAATCCAAGCACAAACACAATAAATTAAGAAAATGGTCTATCGGTTTCTAGATAGATACGATGCCAGCTACTCCGACGATCAATTGTCGTAGCTACGCCCCCCTCCATCCACCACCTATTTTCAATCGCGACCCTTAATTAAAGAATGTGTAAGTGACGCCACCCATGCTACCAAATCTATCAGTATCAGTATGTCGTTCCGGGGCTTAAAATGGCTATGTTTAGGGGAAAAAATCTAATTTTTTTAATGTGAATGTGGAATTTATCTTTTAGTCGTGTTTAACCCTTTCACAATATTGTCAATTGCTAGCTCTGATTACAATTTTAGATGTGGCGTTTGCGGCGTGTAGAAGGTATTTAACAGCGGCTGGCAATGTTTGCTATTATCGTTAGAATATAGAACAATGTGGAACATCCCCTTTACTACACCATTCAAGAGCCGCCCACTGACAACGGTAGTTAGGATTACAGGCTTTGATATGAAGGGACGATGGACATAAACGCAAACGCCCAAAGCTCGATGACAAGTTTGGACTCGGGGTCAAAATCGAGGTCAAAGTTGGTTAGCGTTGATGAGAGGAGGTCACCATGATCTTCATATTGACCACGCCCATTGACTTCCTTTTGAACACGGGCCCTAAATATTTTGCCGGTTTTCTAATCGAGCGGTGTGTGACATCACCCAGGTAATGGTCGATTGTCCAAGCCAAGATGATGGTCTTTAAAGTGGTTACGTAGTGAATGTCGTAAGTCAAGGTCAAATGTCCAAAAACTGAGTTTGAAAAGTTTGAGTTCAGTTTTCTGTAACACGACCTTGGCCAAGGACTTTGACACAATTATTTTTTCTGAAGCCCAACGTCTCTGCTTTCACCGCGAACATTAACCACAATAATACAGCGAGAAATGTGGCTATGACACGCATAAGCGCAAAGTCCCAAAGCTCGATGGGAAGTTTGGACTGCGGGTCAAAGTCGAGGTCACGGTTGGTTAGTGTTGATGAATGGAGGTCACCATGACCTTCGTATTGACCACGCCCATTGACCTCCTTTCGAACAGTGTGTGACAGGACCCAGCTAAAGGTCGATTGCCCAAGCCAAGATGGTTACGGGGTGAAGGTCGTAAGTCAAGGTCAAATGTCCAAAAACTGAGTTTGAAAAGTTTGAGTTTCGTTTTCTGTAACACGAACTTAACCCACGACTTTGACCCAGTTATCTTCTCTGGAGCGTATCGTCTCTGTTTTCACCTCGAACATTAACCTCGATAATGCAGCAAGAAATATGGTCATGGCATCCATAAGCGCAAAATAGACGTTTATAGAGCTAATCTGCCTATTGCAGGGGTGGGGGAGGGGTGGCTTCAAATGTTATATAAATTATTATTTAGACATTTATTCACATGACAAGCCTATAAACAACTCTAGACAATCGAATTGCGCAGATGTAAAAAGATTGAAATACGACGGCCATTTAGTGATTTAATTTACAAATGGAAAAGTGAGTCTCGATTAACAAGTAACGATATCACAATAATAAATAATCTATGTCAAAAACTTCAAACAATGATAACATCGCTCAAAATAAAGGAATTTGAATGAAATTTTCCATATATTTATTTTGAATTATCTATGTTGGAACTATAATAGCAAGAATGGTCAGTTACTTAAACTTACTTACTGCATCTTTAATAAAACACATGACAGGCGGTCTTCAAACATTGACAATTTTAGGGATGCTTGCACTGCCGACAAATCACTGAAAATGACTCTGGATCTGTATCAAGATTTGTTTAGTTTATATGATGATTTGTTTAACGGTCCATCCATCTCGTACGCAAGAAATGATCAAATATATGCATACTATGCATACGAGGCGAAGGTTGGTCGAATATGATCAACAATTCCGATTTAAAAGGGCATTAGATCCATCCAGTGAATTATGAGTCATGGTTGTTCAGTATGTCCAAGTTTTAAACCAACGGAGAGATGTTATGATTTTAATAACAAGTGTTTGGCATTATCAGCATTATTGTATAATTGTTCCAACGGGCCAAACCAACAAGGTAGAATAACACCGTCATAGCAGGCTACGTCTAGTTCTACGTTTCGTAACAATGTGAAGTGAACAGATTATTATATAATTCGTGGTCTACAAACATTCGTGAATGCAACTGGGTTATCGGAATTTATAACTTTCATGTTAAAATTATTTTCTACAAACGTGATGAACTTCAAAGCGGATTTATCTCACTAGTGACGGGGGGGGGGGGGGTCGAATGGTTAGCGTGTGCGATATGGTCACGATTGGTCAATTTCATTTGTCACGATCTGGCCTCCCGTTCAGATACGTTACGATTTGGGACGGTCTGGTACGTGTAGATACGTTTGGATACGCTCACCCGAAAACGATGCGCTCTGTTGCGATTTGATGTCTTTCACGAACGGGATCAAGAGTGATTACGATTTGATCTCTGATTGGACCCAACGGGTATATATACAGTCCGACTGGCCATGGACTTCATTGTTTTCCGAACTTCTACAGAGTGAACACTACAACCCACAACCATTGATGATGACACCGTGTCATTTGCAGTATTACTGTATGCTTACATTATCGCCAGAGGGGAAGAAGAATAGCAGCAGCCACAAAAGCCACAACAACAACCACGAAGGGCCGTGAGAGCCGCAGTCAGGCAGTTCTGGGTGCGACCATAGGTCACAGAGGAGGGGGAAACAACAGCTTGGTCAGTTCTACAACCCCCTAGTCAACCAATTGAGACAGGGGGTTGGATGGCTGAATGGTTAGCGTGTGCGCGCTGCATCATCAGGTCTGTCATAGAGTCAACTGGTGTGGTTTAGATTCCCCGGATGTATGTGACAAGGAGTAGGGTCTCCTGCCCAACTTCGTAGGTTTCGTTGGGGTCCTCCGGTTGCCTCCCACTGCTAAAGACCCCAATGCGCAAGCGAATTATTGAAATAAAATTGGACCATATGTTAGTCCTATTTCTCTCTGTACTGGAAGAGATGAAAAGTTTAGAAATCCCACAGATATGAGACTCTCAATTTCTATTTTAAGGAAAATACAAAACTTCTTCGAGGTCGATCATTTCAGAGCAGCATACATATTTGCGTTCATTAGATTCATTCTGCATACACTTTAAAAAACAAATTTTCCAGGAAAACTCATTTCAAAAGTCGTGCGTTGTGAGGTTTCACACTGTAATTTTGTTTATTACAACTTTATCGATCGTGTACATGTTATTTATTTTTGTGATGTATTCATTGTAGGTTACTCTTTAGCTGATTTGTGTTGTTTGTTTTCAGGAGGGAAATACAAACTAACCCGCCGTATTAAATATGCATTATAGTTCACATTATTACATTTTGGTTTGAGTTACTGGCGCACATTTTTTGCCAAAGATAACATTTGTTAAATTGTTATTTGATATTTTATGTACAATTAATTGGTGTGGTTTAATTCTTCAGTGTCTCATCGCAAAGTGAATGTTGGCAGCTTTTTGAGATATTAAATTTCCCCATTCCCGGGTTATAACTAATGACAACGCTGGCGATCACCAATTCTGCCAATAATTGCGAATAAATATATGGTTGTAAAATCTCCTTTCATGTCAATAAAAGAGAAGGGTAATAACAGTGAACATGTTAGTCTTTCCACATAAATCTGTTTTTGCAACATACATGGTACGATAACTGTATATAAAATCATGAGTTTCGTTTTAAAAGCAAAAGGTTGCGCGTTGGAGTTTTACATTGGGGCACTGTAATTATGTTACCAATTAAAAGGATTAGGAGTGACTTTTTTAATCAGTATCATTACTGCCTGGTAAACACCATTTCATTTCATTCTTTTATTGTATTCAATGTAACACGACACGTGTAGTTTGAAGGTAAAGTATAATTAAATTTTAGACATTGTTTTCCATTGGGCTCATCAAATATATTTTGCTGTGTCATAAAGAGGAGAGAAATCATAGAAGGGGGAATTATTTTTGTCAACTGATAAATTCAACACGTTTTTTATTTTGATACTATTTTTAGGCGAATCAATACACTTCTCATTAGCATTCGGGGGTTTAGATGACTTTATATGAATCGGGTCTGTACATCTTGTTTATCAGAGCCATATGGGAATAAGGGAAGCTGGCGTTTTCAAGAGTAGCTTCACAAAAGTTTTTTCATCGACAGGGCGAGACCGGTCGCGTAGACTATACCGGTTACCTTATGCATAATAACCGATTTAAAGAATTCAGCTTTATTTGAATTCCATATGCAAATGATATACATTTAAATTGATATTATTTAATGATTTAATCTACAAACTCATTAATAGGAATTGCACAAAATTAATCTAAAACATAAACAGTACACAAGAACAGCACATTGATTATTAATGTCGATATAAACAATTAGAATTTTTTTTTTTTTAAAAATCATTGGTATTACCAATGGCGTAAAAAAATTTAAAAATCTTCTGGACGTCTTACAACTTGGCAACCCTTCCAGAGCTTGACCTGAAAAAGAAAACCAAAGAATTGTTCTTAAGACAATTTCAACATTGTGAATATCGAAATCGGATAGATTTTAACACTTCGATTCAACGAGCAATTTCCATGATACATGATTATGTTGTCATCTTTAGAATAAAGTACACCTGTGAAACACAATGGTTCCGCCTATAATCAATTTTACCGTAAAAATATTTTACGTCAATCTTTCATAGCTAATTTGTCGTTTTCTTTTCTAATGCAGGTCTTTTCTCGGCTTCAAATGATATATAAATTATTAATTAGATATGTATTTACATGATAAACCCATAATCAACTCTCTTGGCAACCGGATGATCCAGATATTAAATGGATTAGTACACCCAAAACTTTGACTTAAATTTTCAATACATATATATACTTCTATCTATCTTTAAACATTTGTATCAAGAACGACCAGCTCGTTACAAATCTTGCATAATGTACCGTTAATAGAAAACCTAGAAACAAATGCTGATATTCATTTAAAGATACATTATGGGAGATTAGATAAAGAGCTGACAGTTCTCGCTATAATAGTTAAAAACTGATAATGTAAAGGGAATTTGTTGAAAATTTCAGTCAAATTGGTCCACTATGAACCGAGATATCAGCTTTGTAAATTTCCGCCTAGCCTCGTTCATCATTACTAAAGTTAGTACGTTAAAAAGCATAGTCTCGATTATCCAATGTTTTGATTTAATCATCAATGAGCGTTTACAGCATATAGGATTCTTATCCAGTCGATATCGAAGGCTAGCCTTGACATCGAGAGTTGATTATGGTCTGGATAAGTTAATTAATGTCTAATTAATAATTTAGATAAGATTTCAGGCCTAAAGAAAGACCTGCGATAGGCAGATTTAGCTGTTGCATAATGCATGTTTAAGAAATAGTCTTAGTATTAATAAAACTTTTTAAAAGATAAAAAGTTTGCTTACCTCGTCAATATCTCCTACGAATGCGGGATAATTACCGCCTATTAATGAACCAATTTGAAGGGCGCCATCTGCAGTCTGTATTTCTGAAAATATAGGAGATATAATGATATATAATCGTAATATTCCAGAATGTTTTAATCGACTGTTTTATTAAAACAGAGCTGTCATGTGACTCTATAATCGACTGAGTCACAGCATACACGGCAGTTCCGAATTCATAGCACGAGATAATAGTTTTATCAGTGATTCTATTGACATAATTTGGAATCATTGTCAAAGCTTTGCTCTTAATTGTATTTTATAGAAGTTTGTAGGGGTTTTTCTACAGTTGAAAAACTTACTTTTAACTGTATCATCAAAAGAAACAGTTTTAGTCGGTATAGGTGTACTGCTGATGATATTAAATCCATTAAAATCCAGAGATCGAACAACACCAGATAAAGTAGTACCATCATAATATAATACAACTTCCTTCCATTGGTTAGTACCCTGAAACAATCACTTGTTTGTAAATTGTGAAATAAATGCATTAAATTCCTTTTGAGTTATTCATATCAAAACGCCACGGTTTTTATAAATGAAACAAACCAACAGTGAGGCCGGTGTCCCCCACCGAAATAAATAGATGACAAATATTAATTAATAGCACATATATTTTTTTCAAAAGTATCAAGCAATCAAACTGATTTAGCATCTATACACTAGGTCAAAACATTCACCTAATGAAGATCTACATCAAGTTTAAACATTATACCTCAAATAAAAGCAGATTTGTTATGTTCCAAAGTCTCGACCAATCAAATTGCTTATCGCTCTGCTTACCCTGAGCAGAAAATGCTCATTATCGAACTTAGTCAAGTTATTGATGTCATAAAACTATACACCAAGTTTCCTCACCCTCGCTTAATTAGAACTAAATTTATCGTGTCCCAAAGCATCAACCAATCAAATTGCTTATCTCTGCTTACCCGAAGCAAAAAATTCTCATTTTCGAACTCCACCAAGGCATTCACCGAATAAACATCTACGCCAAGTGTGAACATCCTAGCTCAATTAGAATGAGAAGTATTGTGTTCCAAAGTCTCGAGCAATCAAATTGCTTATCGCTCTGCTTACCCTGAGCAGAAAATACCCATTGATGTAATAATAGGTATCGAACTCATTCAAGGCACTGACCTAATAAACACCTACACCAAGTTTAAACATTGTACTTGTAGCTTAATTAGAGGGAGAGTTATTGTGTCCCAAAAAGTGTCCCCTGCTTTCTTCGATATACTACTAATTCCATTTATACATTTGTTACCATGTCAAAAAAAAAAAGATCCTGGCAAAATTTGTTGCTAACTTGCCGCTAAGTTAGATGACTTTCTAATGGGAAATTAAAATGCGAAATTTTTTTGGAAAAGTTATCCTGACAAAATTGGGAAGATGCTAGAAGCAATTTTTGGACATCTACATGTATATGATCGTATTGATCCAATCTATATGTCCATTAGAATCAAATATCGTAATGTTAAACAAACATTAACATAACTCACTTCAAAAATATGTTTGTTTTGGAGGCTAAAAATACAGTTTTTGCCAAAATGACATTACTTCCGGTGATAATGAAAATTTCAAATTAGTTCTATGAAATCACATATGGCATACGGCATCACGTGATGAAAATTTTATAACAATCGAATAATAATTGACACTTTTATAGACCAAAATCCTTGAAAAGTGATTGTAGAAAATCGTCTATTTCTCTGCAACCGAACAAGTTATAAACCATCTTGTGGTATCTGTATGATCTTATGGGTTCATTCTATTTGATGATTTGAATCAAATATCATAATTTTAAAAACATTTTAAATCAGACTCATTTGAAAAAAAATATCAGCTGTGAAGGCTAAAAGTACAGTTTTTGCCCAAATGACGCCATTTGCGGTGACAGTGAAAATGTTAAATTTGTTTGACCTCGTCAAAATTGGCATTAAACATCAAATGGTAAAAAAAAATTGAAAATCGAATGATAATTGACTCTTTTACAAGCAAAATAGCGTGAAAAGTGACGCATTGAAAATTTCTTATTTCACGGCAACTGTTAATATTACAAATTAATTTTTACATACATTTTCTTCGTTTGGATTATTGCTACAAGTTTATGAATGTTGTTCAAGAATAATTTAAAATGTAAAAAGCCCGAAAACATTGTAAATAGCTCATTTTCACACTTTAAATCAAAATGGCGCATATACAAAACTGAATTAAAAAAAAAAAACTAAGCCCGAAACATTTTGCGTCTTTAGTAGGAGCATTCATCTTGATCTTTTAGATTTGTAAACATTAATATTTTCTTTTGAAAAGACATTTCGACACGTGAAAATTGAAGTTTTGGAAAAAATTACGACACTTCCGGTGCCGACGGAAAACTTTATCAGTCGAAAAAGTTGAGAATATGTGTTTTTCTTTTACACAAATCAGGCAATAATTCATTAATCCACAATCCAGAAACTGAAATTAAAATGCGAAAAATCGTAAAAAGTGATCTTGACAAAATGTTGTTATTTCTCGGCAAGTCTTTCTCTCCCCGTTTCATGTAGATTTCTGTTGACATTTCTGTGCACATTCATTAATTGCAGGCGGAAGAATGCCAGTTAAGTCCTCGGTAACGTTTTAAAGTAGAGCGTGTATATACACGATTACTAGTAATATCCCTTCAGTTTGTGTATCTAAAGATTTTGGGTTCCGATGTCGACGTTCGTTCCGCTCATTATTATTATGTCTGGTTTCTATTGTGGATGAGGATGTAAAGCCAATTCATGATCTTTTCCCGAAAGCCTGAATAGTTGGTCGCTCAACACATGCGAAAAAACGGGGAGGTGTTTTAGATGGCCACAGATCACTAAAGATCAAATAATTTTTTGATATCAATATGATCGAATTGATTTATACTATTTGTCCATTGGAATCAAATATCATAATTTTAAACGAATAATAAATATAACTCATTTGTTTTGGAGGCTAAAAATACATTTTTTGCCAAACTGACATTACTTCCGGTGATAATGAAAATCTTAAATTACTTTTATGAAATTGTAAATGACAGTAGGCATCACATGGTAACAATTTTATGAAAATCAGATAATAATTTACACTTTTATGGGCCAAAAACCACGAAAAGTGACTTGTCGAAAATCGTCTATTTTCTCCGCAACTGAACAAGTTAGGAACCATTTTGTGATATCGATATGACCGTAGGAATTCTATTAACATGTTGATTTAAACCAAAAGTTGAAATTTTTAATACATATCAAATAATTCTTGAAAAAAAATATTGATTTTAAAGGTTAAAAACACAAATTGTTGACAAAATGGCGTCACTTCCGGTGACAATGAAAATGTTAAATTGGTTTGACCTAATCAAAAGTGACATTAGGCATCAAATGGTGTAACGTTTATGAAAATCCAATAATAATTGACCATTTTACAGGCAAAATAACGAAAACGGTGACTTATGCAAAACTGCCTATTTCTAGACAACTGCTTATATATTACAAACTAATATTAACATACATTTTCTTCGTGTGGATTATAGCTACAAGTTTATAAAAGTTACGAAGAAATATTTGAAAATCTGAAAAGCCTGAACGGGTTGTAAATAGCTCAATTTTACACCCCTTTTCACCTCTTGATCCAATTTGCCCGAAACTGAAATCGAAATTAAAAAAAACTGAGCTATCTATTTTGTGCGCCTTTAAAGGGCATTTTCTTTTAGTTATATCAGTTTTTAAAAAAATAATATTTGCTTTCGAAACGTGGTACTGAACTGTCAAAATTGCAGTTTTTGGTCAAATTACGCCACTTCCAGTGTCGACAGGAAACTCTATGGGTAACAAAAACAATGACAATTTAGACAACGAAGCATATGAACTTTGTTTTATACAAATCGAAGAATAAATAATTAATCTAGGACTGAAAAACTGAATTAGCCAATTGCGGCCAAGGAAAATTACTGAGACAATAACATTTCACATTTTTGCTCAATTCAAATGACTCTTTGATTCTGTGTAAAATACCACCAATAAATATTCATAATAAAAAAAGTTTCCTGTAAAAATTTAAATTTTCTAAATTTGGCGCCTAATATCTGCAAAGATGTACCGAAGATCAAAAGTAGCGTAGCTATGTGCCCTGTCTCCGGCTGTGCTAAAATGCATCGAAAGTTAAAATCCGACGATTATTGTTAAAATTACTGCAATATTTCTAAAAACGACATCTTCGGTGATTTCGGACATTTCGCATTGTCGCAGAACGTTCAAAATAGCTTTATCCTCCAAGTCACTCCCACTTTCCCAGTAAAACCGAAAAAATTGTAACGATGCAACAAGCAGTTGCTGGGATCTAATCAAAATGGAAAAAGAATAATAATAAGAAGAAGAAGAATCTTAACAAAAACAGTAGTGTTTCAGAAAAGCTGCGCAGTGTGAAACCCTAAAAATCAGTCTAAAAAAGGTTCAATTCCGTTCAGTATTTACAGTCAGGAGCTCCAATGTTAAAGGGGCCCTGAAATTGGGTCTCAAATAATAATTAATGATTAGATTTATTATGTTGTGCAAAATAAATCTATCAACCATACTGGCATACAAATTGGGTTTGTGCGTGCAACGGACAATGACCGGAATATGCCCTTTTTTCACCATTGATGCAAGGGCCCCGGTGACATGTTTAGCCAAGAGTCCAATGTAAGCTTAATCCGACACTTATTTCCGCTGATGGCTTCCAGATCAGATTAATCCCCTCTGCATATTAGCGTGGATTAGGCAGTGAGAAATCTGATATTTTGCGAAAAACGCAAATCAAGCACATTTAATTTACAGAGGCACCATGTACCATTTAGATAAAGAGCTAGTCGTTCTGGATATAATACTTCAAAATAGATAATTAGCAATGATTATAATATTGAACATTTCAGTCAAATTAGTTATGAATATTTGAAATTTTGACAAGCAATATCCTAAATTTCCCGTTGACAGTTCATATTCTCGATTGTACCGTTGCCACGATAATAAACGAAATCTCGATTTTTAGTCCTTCAATCAGCAGATTTCCGTGAGAGGCGGCCATAGGAGAGCTGATTGAAAAGTTTTAAGTCTGATAGGGATAGATCTATTGGGTTGGAAAAAACTTTTGCCACCAACAAGTACAATCATTGAATGAATCATAGACATACGAACTGCAACTGTAGTGTTATTATTAACTTCGTACCAGACCATCTTGTGAACCTAACCATTGAAATCACAAGAAATGAACAAAACTGGCCATAAGGCAGACATCAAGTACCTGCAAGTGAAAGGACTGACCCCCAACACAGATACATGCTAAGATGGTCTCCACTTTATGGGATGATGCCCCTTCCTTTTTCACAGTAAAGAAGTAGGCTGTGGAATTTAAATGTGGCAGGGAGAGCCTTGACGATGACTCGCGTCTCGGAAGGCCATCAACAGCAACCATTCAAGAAACCATAACCCGGGTGCATGACATGGTGATGGCTGATCGACGATTGTGGGCATATGAGAGGGTTAATAACATTATCGCCAACGAGTTAGGAATGACAAAAGTTTCTGCAAGATGGGTACCAAAGCTTTTAACTTTGGATCAGAAACGTGTCCGATTCCTGACGTCCCGTAACAATTTGTGCCGTCTTGAAGTAGATCCTGATATTTTCTTTAGCCAGATTTGTAACCCTGAATGAGACCTTTTTCCAAAAATGAAGAAGAAACTAGCTGGTCGTCATTTTCCTACTAAAGATTACGTCATGTCAGCTGAGAGCGACATTTTAGGGTGGCTGGAGAAACTTTCTTCCTGACCGGCATCCAGGCCTTGCAAAGGTGTGTACACCACGAATGGGACTATGTAGAAAAATAAACGGAAACCATCGACTTTGTACCTGTCTTTCACAAATGGGCTTAGAACATTTTAGCCAGCCCTCGTATGGCTAGCATTGTCTAATCCACTCAGTATCTAACCTATCCAACTGTCTATAGTGTTGATTATGGGCTTGTTATGATAAAAAAATATATAAATTATAATTCATATAACATTTGAAACTTGAAAAAAAAGACCTACACAAGGCAGATTTAGCTCTTACATAATGCATACAAACTTTCTACTGAAGGGACTGAGATAAATGTATTGTAAACTTGTTTTACAACTTTCTTTAGGCAATCATAAAAAAGTCTAGGGGCTTTCTGCCGTGAAATTACATTGCCAAAAATTCTGAAAATAGCAAAAAAAGACCCAGAAAATTCCTTATTATTTAATAAAAGACAAATACTTACGACCGTTGCTGCAGATGAGTTGTAGCCACCAATTACTGTTTCGACTCCGATGGTAACACGTCCGTTACCAGCTGTGATGTAAACACTAGGTGTATACAAAACAGCCATATTGCTTTGGCTAGAGGTTTCGCGGAATTTTACTTTGATAGCCAGTGGAAGAACAAAGTCTATATTGGAATATCGAAGGACAGCAAGTCTGGTAGTTCCATCGAACGTAGCTCTTTCTCCACTAACCGAGACAGGACCTTCGTTTCTTATCCATGCCTTACTAACTGAATTATCTAGGATGCGGTCATCAGTAAAATTTAGATAAAAGTCTTCGCTGCATGGGTTTACTGTATGGAAGATATAAAAAGCAAACATAAATTCTCTGGTTCGAATATTCAGACGTAGTTTAAAGCCGTCTGAACGGATCCGCCATCAACATAGCAGCGTTCAAAAATAAATGAAACACGCCATCTTCAACCCTGCTTGAAGTTCGTATTAATTCGGTGGTTATAAGATTAAACGTATAGTCCCATCTTACTGATCTTTACGCCAACTTATAAACTACATTCAGTCTAAATTTGTCATATTAAGTAAAAACTACATTTCGTTCTTGGTTTTAAAGACCATAGTCAAAATTGCGAATACCACAGAATCCCGTGCAATGTTACAGAATAAAAAATGTACATGAGTGAAACGTCTATCACTTTTCAACAATCACGATCATTAATAATGATTTTAAATTATTCTGCTATCTTGCATAATTTCTGAAATCATTATGTCGTCTATAGAAAGCCCACGTTTTGAGTTTTTGTTGCATAATAAACCGCATATGCAATATGCAATATTATGCATACAACAATGTCGAGTATATTGGACCCACGACAAAAAAATAGCCGGTTAATGGCAGCGAATTATGAGATTATTTTTTGTATGCAGTTCCATCGACCCATTTAATGTTCAAACTAATTAGTTAATTGTGGTCAAAACGTTATACATAGAACTTTGGACAGCATGTTTGGACATATTTTTGCCATGTTGTTAATATCGGAAATGTTGATCGCTGACTTTAAGATGTTGATGTTTACCATTGAAATATAGTTATAATACTCGTCTTTCATGACATTTCGTACATCTCGGATCATTATTTTGCTTGACCCGTGAGGAAGTGTTGTATATGACGCAGTATACTAGGAACAGTAAAAAGGACAATGCTTAAAGGGGCGTTATGGAAGATCAGATAAAGAGCTGGCAGTTCTTACTATGATAGTTAAAAACTAGATAATGTAAAGGGAATAATATGCTGAAAATTTCAAATTAATTCACTCTGAACCGAGATATTGGCGATCGAATTTTGGGCCTAGCCTCGATCATCATTACTAAAGTCGGTACGATAAAAAAAAACATAGTCTTGATTATCCACTTATCCATCAATGAGCGTTGAGCAGCAGATCGGATTCAAATCTAGTGAAAATCCGACACATAATATGACATCTCTTTTTACGTTAATAAATGTCTAATCAATAGTTTATATAATATTTAAAACCTAAAGAAAGACCTGCAATAGGCAGATTAAGCTCTTGCATAATGTATGTTTAAATAAAACCGAACTAACCTGGGGTGGAGCCGGTACATGGATCTTTATTTCTAATGGAACAATCGCATTTGGAGGGGTTAAAGTTAGTTCCCGCTGCACAGTGCATGACTTTGACACTCTTTGTTAGTCCTTCACCTTCATGGACTTCATACCTGCATGGGTCGATGACATCATTAGGCATTCTGTAAATTTTAAAGGTCTCTTGACAAGCTTAAAAAAGAACATGAATGGAATATGTGTTAATAATCCTATAACTGATTAAACCACCAACGCCCATTTCCAGGATTAATTCTGTAAGATAGTACTGACGAGTAATTATCGAGACGAATAATTATCGAGACCAATGCTCATATTTTATCCATAACTATTATGAAGAAATTTGGCCATGGGATGTCGGCATTTCAACATAATTATAGTAAAGATCTCGAAATGGAAAATGCTACCTGCATATGAGATTTTGTTGTTAAGTGTGCACTGGAATATGCAATTAGAAGAAACGATACATTTCTTTGTTACGGAATCGAATTCGGGGGCGCTTTCCGGACAACAGCCACTGTTTACAACCCCATTAGTACAGTTGAAGTAAGCTCCACATTTCACAGACCCATACAGATATGTGGTACCATCACATTCACCTAAAGTAAAGGAGGAATATATATAAGTAAATAAAATACAAAACAAGGGAAAAAATCAAACATACGTAAATACGTCTGCACTCTAAAACTGAAAATCATATTAAGATTATATCTGGCCCATGGCTAAATATCTCACTAACACAGAGAAATCAATAAAAAAAAAACATGGAATAAAAAAAAATGACGAATTTTAAAATATAAAAGTTTCGCGTTTTGTTTCATCGAAACTAAAAACTTAATGAAGCATGGGTATTTCGCTGATCTTCGAATTTTGACAAGTAAACTCGATTTAATATTTGACTGTACCTAATTTCAAGGCGAAGCAGAAATCAGCGTTTTAATACCCTTTCCATAACACCTGATACCATTTTTCACATATATTGTTGAAAGTCTCACCTCTGTAACAGTCAGAACCAGGAAAATGTACACAGTTCTTTAACTCTTGGTTCCAGAACAGACCATCATTACAGGCCATATCATTGTAGATGATATTAGTACTGAAGGCTTCTTTCTCACACTGGATGAATCTTTTACAGTCCTTTGGGTTCGCTTTATAACCGACACCATTTTGCAGATCAAAATCACTGCAGACTGAAATTTAAATTATTAAAATTCGAAAGCAAATTATCTTATAAATCTTATAAATATTTATTTGTTCATATTTCAGTTTCAAGATATATAATAATTATTTGTAATTGCTTCATGGCGGATTTTATATCCGTGTACTAATAAAAAAGAGATTAAATTAATGTTTGTGAACAAACCTGGAGCTGTAGTGACAACATTATTGCTACAAACAGTAGATGCAATTCTTTCGAACTCGGCACGAACATTGACAGAGGATGATACCTGGATGGCATTTCCAGTTGCGATAATATTCAATTCATTCAAATTGTAATTCTGGAGGTTATTTCTGGCAACTCCTAGACTGTAAACAGTCATAGATCTTCCTCCGATGTTAGAAGATTTAAGTTGTGAAACAATGTCAAACAAATTGCTTTCGTATTCAGCTTGACTCGATGTTACCAGGACAGCTACGCGTGGCACAAATCGGTTTTCAATGTTGAACAGAGTATTTGCAGCCCTAATACCGACACTATACCGAAGTCGACTGCCTAAAGGGATCCTGTTGTTGCTCAACTGACGCCGTAAGTTGTCTACATTGTCAGAAATTGGAATACTTCCAATGACTTGATCGCTGAAGAAAACTGCTCCAACACGGATTTCTGAACTGGATATGGGCTGTCTTGTTATAAATGAATCCAGGGCATTGTAGACATTATCAACTGTGTTGATAGAAGAATCGATCATGAAAACCATATCAGCAATACATTCTGAAATTAATTATGACGACAAAAGCATTGAATTGGACATTTAACTTGTAATTAATTTAAAAAAGATTATTTCTAATTTAAACAATGATATTCAAAAATATACTAATTTCATTCGACGTATAATGTGTAAATAAATCATCACTAAAAATAACATGTACTTACGCTGTTTTGAATACTGAATCAAGCTTGCCAGAATGGCGACCGTCAAACTGAGATGTAACTTCATATCTGTAAAATGATATTGAAGATGATTACAAAAGTAGAAACAAATATCTATTTTAGTTGGAGATAGAGAGAATTAAATGGATTATGGTACTTTATTTATCACTTGTTTCCAGGCGCAAATAAGAATGACACTGGAAGGTTCGTCAAATAGGCCTACTATATCCCAAAAGGCACAACTGTGCTTTTAATGGTGCGAATTACCCTTTTAGACCTCTTGTTCCTGACTTACGCTGGACTTGCTCTCAAATCACCACTGGCTCTTCTGACAACATTTGTCTGCGATATCACTGTCCGTATAAGTGGACGTTAACGCCCATCGACGAACGAACATTACATGTCTTTATCTACCTAAAAATGTATTGTCAATACTGTGCTTGATAACGAATTCAGGAATTATAATTCATAAAGTTCTGTATTTTATTTTTAAAAAATGAAATTAAAATATACTGTATCTACTCTAGAACAGGGTAATAAAATACTAGAGTTATCAAATATGTAAACCTTAACTATGAATTCATATTCTATGTTAAATATGAAAACTGTTGTGTTACCTGTATCTGTTGTAATGAGACGCGTCTAATCCCTTCCTTCCTTCGTCTAACTTCAGTTAAATGATATTTTATGTTTTATATCTCTACCAGATTTAATGAGCTGCCCTATTATTTCGAGAGCAAATATCCCTTGAAGTCAAATTTATATGTGCTCCCTCGCGCTTTATTTACCAATTTATCAAACGTAAACACTTTGCATTAATCTTAAGAAGGGAACAAAAAAGACGTAATTAAACAAATAATCTTTGAGCTTGATTAGCATCATTCTCTCTGAGCTATAACTGTATTCTTTACTTTGGTCAATAAGCAAATACCTTTCAGCTATACTTGATGTCATGCTCCATTGAAAGAGTTTTTTGTAAATACAAATTTAAAGGGCATTACCGAAGGATACATGAATTTTATTCGAATGTCGGATTTTTTTTCCCCAACAATTTAACTGTTGATGCTCAAAGTTCTTAAAAATTACCATCGATTATGATACAATGAACAGATTATGGTGCTCACACTAAACCAAACCAGACTAAACATTTTTCATGGTATAAAGCACTACATATTTTATATTTATAAAAATATAAAAGTTTTTGAAAAAAGAACTACATTATTTGTCGATTACTAGCACTTGTGCTTATCTTATTAAGCTCTTCAGATAATCAACATTTTGGCAACACAACACTGACTATGACGTCATAGTAACATAAAGAGGGAACATAACTTAAATATCAAATCCGACAACAATAACTAGGCCCATATGCAATGAAATTACTACAGTTACTACAATTTTGCATTTAAAGCTGGCCGAAATTTGTCAATAAAATATGCCTCTTTGACCTCTAATAAATCATTATTATTTCTATTAAGCTTGTTGGCTAAGTGGGTAAGACGCTAGCTCGCTAGCCTGGAGGTCGGATGTTCGATCCCTGCATTGGCCGAGAAAGTTCATCCAGATTTTCCGGCGTGGTTCTCCCTTGTCAGTGATGCAGGACGGAGGGGCTGACAAGGAAAGCTGTCTAGTCGTTCGGATGGGACGAAAAACCGAGGTCCCGTGTACACATTGGCGTGCACGTAAAAGATCCCTTGGCATTTGGAATTCGATATAAGAGTAGGCCGTAGTGCCGCTGTCCGGGCAAAATTTCCCTCGTAGCACACTGTATGGCGTATGCCCGTCTTCATTAGCCCAGGTTAGGAGCAGAAAAGTAGGACGTTAAACTCCATTTCATTTCATTTTTATTAAGCTTGTACATCTGAAAAACACTAAATTTGCAACCACCACAAACATCTATATGTCCACTAAGGGGGATCATCCTATATTGGATTGTGACGATTAAAGTTGGTGACAAATGCAATTATATTGTGATAAGGTGTTACGGGGTAACGGTGTTGTTCGAGCAACATCTATGGAAGGCCTCGATAGGAAGAACAAAATTGCCCTCATTGTGTTCGGTATTCAACAGATATTGTATTAGTAATACAATAAAGATGCTTTTATAGGGAATACGCCGGGAGTGAGTTTTTACGAGCCTAATTGGTTTATAAAACTTCAAAATCTTGGGAAATAAATTCTAACTGGATCGTTGTTCGTTATTCGCCAATGTGAAACAGCTCTTTGTTCAGATAGAAACACAAAATGTTAGAATCTATTTCGCAAGACTTTGGAGTTTTATAAACCAATTGGGCCCATACTATATTACTAATTCCATATCTTCTGAATAACGAACAACGAGCCAGTTTGTTATTCGTTATTCGTGAATACCTAACAACAAACTAGCGCGAATACCGAACAACAAACTGGCTCGTTGTTGGTTGTACGCGAATAACGAATAACAAACGAAAAACGAACCACAAGCTAACTTCGCGTCGCTGTATACAGCATAGTTGGTGTAGAAGCTGGGACGTTAAATCCATTTGATTTTCATGAGCCTTCTCAAATATTGAACTAATAAGTGTGGAAACGTAATTTCAGGCCCGTTTTAAAAAATAATTTTTAACATCAGATCTAACCCTTTAAATTTCATTTTGCAATATATACTCTTCAAAAAAAGTAGGGCATATTCAGAAACAATACAAAACTCAGGGGCGGATCCAGGGATTTTTGCAGGAGGGGGTTTGCCGGGTTCCCCCACCCCGGCATGGTCTCTATCGTCATTTTGGCGTATATACATACACATTGAGCTTTTTAAACAGAGAAATTCAACACCTCGTTTGACGTCAATTTTTATTATGAATTAATACAATGACATTATGATTCAATTTCATGGACGCAAAGCATTAACTGTGATATCACATAATGTCTATATTATCATTATCTCGTGCTTTGAGTGCCCACCCTGCCCACATCTGACGATAAAGGATAAAACACACGGCCGAGAAACTTTTCTCATAAAAAGTGTTGATTTACAAAAAAAAATATGTAGCTGAGCGGGGGGGGGGGGGGGGGTTCGACCCCCCCCCCCCCCTCTCGATCCGCCCCTGATTTAACTGCGGAAATGCACTGCTGTTTTTATTAGTGGTAACCAGTGTATGTTAATAACACAGGCCAATTGCCTACGCATGAACATAAACAGTTCGTATGGGCGGCTTATCTGACGGCCCCATTTCACTCGCAAAGAGATACACTGCCAATAGTGAAAATGAGTAATTGCTCCACCAATCCTCAGACATTCAGCAATTCGTCGTGGCATGCTCCTAATCAACCGTCCAATCACGATTTGGGGCAGTCTGGTCCACTCCTCTTGCGGTGCCAGGGCCAATTCTTGCAGTGTTGTCGGTTGACGTTGACGTCGACGAAGAAGTCTCTCGGTCAAATTAAACGTAACACACTAAAGCAAAGATACGCTAAACAGTAAATCTTATACAAGAACCGATAGGAAAGCAAACATATATAGAATAAACCAGCAAACGGCAGTTTTCATTAACCCTTCCTCGAGGTGTCAAATTTGACAATGAACCCTTCCTACATGTATGGCGCTATTGTGTGTCGCATGTGCAGCTCAGTGGTTCTGTTGAGGCGATAAGTTCTTCATCTGTGAACATACTCTTAAAGCATGTCAAGTGTCCAAGACTGTTTATCATATCACAATCTGCATAGGTATTTGCATTTCAATATCCCCTACTTTTTTTGAAGATTATATATGTTTTTTAATTTTTGAAAGGGAAACCTTTCTTTTCAGATACAAGTTCCAATTTGTACAGTAGCTAATCTAAACCCATTAAACGATTCAACATTGATTTTGTAATTAAACCATGTGATGCAGATGGTTTAATTGGAATTGGTGGAGAATATATTTTTTATCTATGAAGTAAAGCAGTAACTATGAAATGACTAATTTCTTTATATACTATTCAAAAAAAGTAGGGGATATTTGATTTTGGGGGCATAATACTAAAATATGCAAATGACTACGAAAAAAGTCACTATAGAAATGAAATGAAATGGGGTTTAACGTCCTACTGTTCTGAGTCACTATAGAACCTAACAGAAGAAACATTTCCAGTTACATGTGACGCCTAAACGCACCAATAGCTACCGCATGGAATGCAGGTGATGCTTGGGATCATCATGGGGGTCCAACCCAAGATTTGCACGACTCTGACTTTGAATGTTACAGTCATTGTGGCATTGAATTCCAGGGTGGAAACATCAGTTTAATTGTTTTAGTGACCAGAAAACAAATTTTGATATGCGTCGGCTTACCCAAAATGAAAGGTTACGTGCCCTTGGCATGCTACAGATCGGCACAACACAGGCGGTTGTGGCGCGGACGATGAATGTTTCTCAGTCTGTCATAAGCAGGCTATGGTCCAGATACCGTGATACACAATCTGTACAGGACAGACCACGCTCAGGTCGACCAAGGGCGACAACTCAAGCCCAGGATCGATTTATCCGTACCTTGGCCTTGAGAAATCGTGTCATCACAGCAAATCAGATCAGCGCTCGTCTTCAAACAGACACTGGTGTGAGAGTGAGTGGCCAGACGATTCGGAATCGACTGCATAGGGGTCACCTTCGCGCCCGACGTCCTCGCGTGATCCCTTGTTTGAGAGATCATCACATTCAGGCAAGACGTCGTTGGTGTAGGGATCGTCAACACTGGGATAATCGACGCTGGAGCAATGTGATGTTTTCAGATGAGTCAAGGTTCACTGTTGATTTTTTGGACAGACGTAGGAGGGTGTGGCGTCGTCGAAACGAGCGCTTCCAAGACGTTAACGTCATCAGACATGATCGATTTGGGGGTGGTTCTGTTATGGTGTGGGGAGGCATCACTGTTGCTGGAAGAACGGCTTTACATGTTGTTGCAGGGCGTGTTACAGGCCAGTACTACCGGGACAACATCTTGGCAGTCCATGTTGTGCCGTTCGCACGACGTCATGGCCGCCGTTTTATCTTCCAGGATGACAACGCAAGATGTCACAGGGCCAGGATCGTTACAGGTTACCTCCAACAAC